GGACTCCATCCTGGGACTCCAGGATCATGACCTGAGCTGAAGGCAGTTGCTTAACCAACTGAGCTACCCAAGTGCCGGAAATGAATTATTTTAACAGGGGCTGTTTTCCCAGCCCCATGTTGGAATCCTGTTTTTTGTTTTGTTTTGTTTTGTAATTGGGTAATCTTTGCCTATCTTCTTTTTTTTGGCACCTCTTGTGTTCTTTACGAATTCTCAGTGGCTCCTTGATGGCGATTGCAAACGGCACCACAAACAGGGTCTTCGTTTCTTCCGTAGCAATGTTTATCCTACTCCTTCAAGTCGGAAAGTCACATTCTTCGGTGAAAGTAGAGAAGGAATTGAATGATTCTGTCTTTTCATGGTCACTTGTTCATATTATCTCATCTCTTGTGAGCCCAGGGCTTTTTTTTTTTTTTTAAGATTTTATTTATTTATTTGACAGACAAGTAAGCAGAGAGGCAGACAGAGACAGAGAGAGGAGGAAGCAGGCTCCCCGCTGAGCAGACGGCCCGATGTGGGGCTCGATCCCAGGACCCTGGGATTATGACCTGAGCCGAAGGCAGAGGCTTTAACCCACTGAGCCACCCAGGCGCCCCAGGGCTTATTTTTTTATTAGTCTATTTTCTTGCTAAAAATCTTTCGGCTGCTCATAACATTTTTTTTTTTAAGATTTTATTTATTTATTTGACAGAGATCACAAGTAGGCAGAGAAGCAGGCAGAGAGAGAGGAAGCAGGCTCCCTGTTGAGCAGAGAGCCCAATGTAGGCTCATGACCCGAGCCCAAGGCAGAGGCTTTAACCCACTGAGCCACCCAGGCGCCCCCTCATGGCATTTTTTTAAACAGCTAATTACAGGCAGTAATATGCTATACTTTTGTGGCCCTCTAAAAGTATTTTTATTGGTCAAATTGACTCTTGAATAATTTGTTCATTCAACAGACCAAGGCATTCTACCATGCCTTGGGAATTTTGCTGGGCATCCAGACAGCTTACAGGTGGATCAAGTAATGGCACGTCATTATGAACAGGGTCTTCTCTAAGAGTGCTAAATGCTGAGGAAAAGTTAACAGGGCCTGGGAGGAAGGGCTACTTTAGACAGGGTAACCCAGGAAACTTCTATGCGAGGACATTTGGGCTGAAAGATGAGAAGTGGGCCATTTCAGGATTTGGAGAAAAATCGTTCTCATAGAGGGATCAGCAAGTGTGAAGGTCCTGTAGCAGGAACAGCTTTGGGTGTCCCAGGGACAGCAAGGCTGGTGTAGCCGAAGTACAGTCAGTAGGGGGAGGAGAGGTCAGAGAGGAAAGCAGGGGTCAGAGCAGTCTGGGCTTCCAGCTAGACTAAGGGGTTGGATTGTATTTCCATCGCAGTGGGGAGCCCTCGGAGGGCTTTAGGCAGAGGAATGGTAATATCCGATCAGAGCAGAGATGGGCTGTGGGCAGGATACTGGAAGCAGGGACATGTAAGGCGGCTGTGAGCTAGTGAGGAGTGACTGGCAGGGATTGGGTGGGCACGAGTGGAGATGGACATGGACAGGACAGAAATGGGGGTAGTCTGGGTGTGTCTTTGGGGGTGGGGCCCACGTGACCTGCTCAGGAACGGAGCATGAGGCAGTGTGTGGAAGTGGACAGGCTCCAGGGAGAGAGGAGGAAACAGCTCACGGCAGAATCAGGGCCCAGCTCCTGACCGGGACCGGGACCTTCCCCCTTCTCTCTCCAGCTTTGGAAGCAGGATGCTTCCTTGTGGGAACTCAGACTGGAAGGCAAGAGGAGGTGAAATCTGGGGAAAATGGAAAGAAATATTGTCAGGGGCCAGGGTGCTTCTTGATGCTTAGCTGGGGCTTGGGCCTGGATGTTCTGTTCCCTCCACGACACTGCCACCCAGTGGTGTGGAGTCAAACTGCAAGGGCAGGCCTCACCCAGTAACCCAGCTTTTCTCCTGTCATCCCAGGTCTTCAAGTGGACAGGAAGCAACTCTTTCTTTGTGAAAGGAGACTTGGATTCACTGATGATGGGCAGCAGCAGGTCCGTGTCTCAGTCCTCCCAGGGTCTGGAGTCTTCGGGTAGTCGGGGTTCCGGTCCCTCTCCCATCCGGAAAGGCTGGGCTGGGTTGCCCGAGAAGAGGCTGATGGTAAATGTCCAGGCCTCTCCCTTCAACACTGCCTGGGTGCTGCCTAGTCCCCCAGCCAAATCCCTCAAGCCTCCTCTAAACACTGAGAGGAAAGGATGGCATGGACTATCCTCCAACGTTTTTACAGTTGATGACAGCTTAGTCTGAGTGCATGTGATTTGGGCAACAGCATTCTGCATGGTTGGACGAGGCTAGAGTCAAGGGATGGGAAGCTAAATCAGGATGCATAACTCACTGGAGGAAGGCAGGCATCTGCCCAAGAAAGCAGCGTGCGCGCATGCGTGCGTGCGTGTGCACGTGTGTATGTGTTGGGCAGATGACCACTCATCATTAGGAAGAAAAAGTCAGCCTTACTCCTGGTGAGACCCCCAGATTCAGGCAGAATAAATCTTATCTCAAGGGCAAAGATGAAAGCAGTGTTTGACTAGTACCAGGCAAGTTCTTTGCCCTCCAAACGCCCTGAAGAGCCTCTACGGAGAGAGTCTGGCACAGAACATACAAGCCATTGCTGATTTGCAGTAACCTGCTTCCCAGCCCCAGCCCGGTTTGCTGTCCAGTGGGAGGATTAGAATGGATGCTTTCTGAAGTGTTTTGGGCTGAGTCCGTGCCTTAAGAGTCACTCCTTTGTTTAAGCATAGCCATCTTTAAAATGTTCCATATGTTCTAAAACATGACTGTGGACAGTGGTGCACCACTGTATATATTTATTAAAATCATTTAACTTTAGGGGCACCTGTGTACGTGTGTATGTGTTGGACAGATAAGTGGGTCAGTTGTTAAGCGTCTGCCTTCAGCTCAGGTCATGATCCCAGGGTCCTGGTCCCTGCTCAGCAGGAAAGTTCTTGCTTGGCGGGAAGCCTTCTTCTCCCTCTCCCACTCTCCCTGCTTGTGTTCCCTCTTTGATGGTCTTTGCCAAATAGATGAATAAAATCTTTTTTTTTCCAAAGATTTTATTTATTTATTTGACAGACAGAGATCACAAGCAGGCCGAGAGGCAGGCAGAGAGAGAGGAAGGGAAGAAGGTTCCCCACTGAGCAGAGAGCCCAACTTGGGGCTTGATCCCAGGGCCCTGGGATCATGACCTGAGCCGAAGGCAGAGGCTTTAACCCACTGAGCCACCCAGGCGCCCCTAAAATCTTTTTTTTTTTTTTAATATTTTATTTATTTATTTGTCAGAGACAGAGGGAGAGAGAGTGAGCGAGCACAGGCAGACAGAGAGGCAGGCAGAGGCAGAGGGAGAAGCAGGCTCCCCGCCAAGCAAGGAGCCCAACGTGGGACTCGATCCCAGGATGCTAGGATCACGACCTGAGCCGAAGGCAGCCGCTCAACCAACTGAGCCATCCAGGCGTCCCTTTTTTTTTTTTTTTTTTAATTTTATTTATTTGACAGACAGAAATCATAAGTAGGCAGAGAGGCAGGCAGAGAGAGAGGGCGGGAAGCAGGCTCCCTGCTGAGCACAGAGCCCGATGTGGGGCTTGATCCCAGGACCCTGGGATCATGACCTGAGCTGAAGGCAGAGGCTTTAAACCACTGAGCCACCCAGGTGCCCCCCCCTTTTTTTTAATAAAGATTTTATTTGTTCATTTGACAGAGAGAGAGAGAGATCACAGTGGGCAGAGAGGAGGAAGCAGGCTTGCTGCTGAGCAGAGAGCCCGATGCGGGCCTTGATCCAGGACCCCAGGATCATGACCCAAGCCGAAGGCAGAGGCTTCAACCCACTGAGCCACCCAGGCGCCCCTAGACGAATAAAATCTTAAAATAAAAAAAAATTAACTATTTTTAAAAATGCTCCAAATCCTATGGGGAACAACAGGTGGAGTTCCCAACAATTCTGGATATAAATTGGTTTAAGGGAAGGTGAAATAGGCAAAACTGTGCTGTGGTCGTGGTGAGGCCAATGGCTGATGGGGTAGACTTAGAAGACCAACATCCAGGAGTGAGTCATGCCAAGGTTTTTCTCTTCTCTTTAGTGGCCAGTTTGGGCTGTGGCTGGATGGAGACTTGTACCGTGGGGGAAGCCACCCTTGTGCAACTTTCAATAATGAGGTACTGGCCCGACAAGAGCAGTTCTGCATCAAGGAGCTGGAGGCCTGGGTCCTGAGCTGAAGACCCCGTGGTGGGTAGCTTCCTAAAGCAACAAATGCTCAGACCTGCTCATGAATGCCTTCTGGACCCTCCTTAGAGAGGGCTGCCCATTTTCTCAGAAACCTGGATGACTATGGCTATGACCAGACCTCCTCACGGCCTGGGGACCCGAGACAGTCCTGCAAGCAAGCTATGTTCTCCGGTAGAGTTGACTGAAGGAGTGAAAGGGACTCACAACTCATCTGAGCAGCACAAAGAGCCTCATGAAATTTCTTTTTATTTATTTATTTTTTAAAGTAGGCTCCATGTCCAGCATGGGGTTCAAACTCATGACCCTAAGATCAAGAATCCCATGTTCCACTGACTTGAGCCAGCCAGCCACCCCACTGAAATTTCTTCTTAGAAATTACACAACTGGGGTGCCTGGATGGCTCAGTGGGTTAGCCTCTGCCTTTGGCTCAGGTCATGATCTCAGGGTCCTGGGATCGAGCCCTGCATCAGGCTCTCTGCTCAGTGAGGAGCCTGCTTCCCCACCCCCACCCCACGCCTGTCTCTCTGCCTACTTGTGATCTCTCTCTCTCTGTCAAATAAATAAATAAAATCTTAAAAAAAAAAGAAATTATACAATACATGTTGATTGTAGAAAAAACAGAGGACTTTTAAAAAAATTAAAATTGCCTAAAAGTCAACCATTCCCCAAAACCCTAACATTTTCATTTTCATATACACCCTTCCAGACAATTTTCCATGGAGACACACACACACACACACACACACAT